ATTAGCTTTGAAAGCTATCCATGCCTCCGAGACCTCTGCTGACTCGGAGTTCCCGTAATACGGGATGATTCGGGTATTAATGCCAAGCTGCAAATGAGGTTTGCTCTGCTGGGCTGGCTCTCAAAAGGAATGAGTGTTTTAAGTCTGAAACTGTGTCTGTGGTCTCGTAAAAAAGCACAGCTCTCCTGGTTTTCTATTTCTTTGCCATTAAAGGAATGATTTCATCCTGCCCTTCATTTGTCCTCTGGTTAAAGTTTGCCTCGCTGTCAAAAAGTTCAGCGGCCTATAAAAGCACAACTCAGAGTTAGAGACTTAGGCAGTGTAACATCCCAAAACCTGCGCTTCCTCATGAGCAGTGACTTTACAGGCTCACAACCCCTGTGGAACTGCCTCTGCGCTCCCAGCTTGCAGTTAGCTGCCGTTTCCCTGAGCGAACCCCCTCTCCCCTGTCCCTGATCTATCACGGTGGCCAAGCCAGCTCTGTTTGCCCTGGAGATGGCTGGGCTGCAGGCAGACACCCCAGCTCAGGCACTTTCCAGCTGCATCCTGCTTCATAAAGGTGATTCCTGCAGTTATTTCATCAGCCCCTTCACTCCCAGTGAGGCCCAGACGTAGAAATTCCCCTGCAGGGTAAATATCTTAAATAAAGAGTGCTTGCACCTTCCAAACCAGGCTTCCTGGCTGGCGGTGGTGCTGGTTACGGAGTAGGGCCATGCTGCCCCTGCACATGTGCTGGCTGGCTCAGGGTTCCCTTGCTTTCCCTCCTTTCCAGCTTGCTGCAGCATAGCCATAAAATCAAGCAGAACTGCCAACAGCACTTCCAAAATATGAATGCAACCAGCAAAAATCGGGCTGGAAACCAAAATTCATTCTGCTTCCTTCACAGAAAGTTCACAGGAGCTGCCTGCTCTGCTTGTCCTCAGACAGGCTCCTATAAATGGATAAACCAGCAGGTCCTGCTTCTTTCAGCCAAGCTTTGTAATCTGGGCACCCATAGGGAGCAGAAGGCACTTTCATATGGCCCAAGGCAGAAATCCTGTGAGACATTTTCCTTCCCATGCTGGAGCAGAATCTTTCTATCTCCAGGGTGCACAGCAGAAGATCCAGGTTTTGTCCTTCCCCTCAAAGCTTGGTCCCCAGGGATGGCAAAGGAAACTCTTCCTGGACAGCGGATCCGTGCAGCTTTCTGGGCTCTGTCAGAAGGCAGGACCCAGCCCACAACAGCAACAAAATTTGTGCTTCCTTTTCTTATTCCACATTTAGCCACTCTCCTGGTTGGACCCCCATGGGGTCTTGCTTCGACCCCCATGGCTTGCTTCAGAGCCCTGCAATTCAGATGTTTTTCCCTGGAGCCTTCAGGCTTGGTTCCAGCTTGAAACCCCTTGTGCTGCAAAGACTCCCCCTGCACCGTTCTACCTCTCAATTGCCCCTCAGCTAGAAGCAGCTTAGCCCAAGCTCAGGAGCTATCAGCTAGCAGTGGTGTGCTGGCTGCTGGCCTGCCCACAGCCATATTTCACAACTAAAGCAGGTTAATTTGAGCCACCACAGCCTGCAACATTTTGACAGCTCCCTAAGGGTCCTTATAAAGCTAAGTCTTGGGCAATCATTGGACTTGGAATATATCGCAGTGCTCTGTAGACCTTTTAAATAGAGTTGTCTTTCCCAGATACAGCTGGATTTAGTCCTGTGCTCGAAGACAGAAGCATGGCCAAAAAAAAGTGAATGCTGGACAACCAATAGGATTCCCAAGACTATTTTATTGAAATAATTTAAATCCAGATGATGTGTAAAAGATGGTTCTTTTTAAAAAGAGGGTACCCTTCCCTTCATTTAAGAAGCAAAGCTTACAACAAACATGTTCTAACATCTCTTAAGTCCTTCACCAAAGCAAAAAGTAGAAGCAGTAAGTCTGTACATTAATTATGTAATAAAAACTAAATGAGTTAAGACGTGTGCAGTCAGTTCTGCCACTCCCACAAGCATGTTTATATAAAACACATCAGCCTTGACTACAAGGACTCCCTAGCAAAATAAAACAAAAAAAAACCCACAATTATCCTTTTTTTTGTCTTGTTGGTAAACTTCAAGACCTTGTTTCTGTTGTGGGTGCACAATTTCCCACTGTTCCTGGCAAGTGCCAGCAGGTCTCAGGAGCTTGTTCTGCAAAGACACACTGGGGACTGATCAGTTCTGGGGGGGAAACCAAAGGAGGCTGAGGAGCCCTGAAGGACAGCAAATGAGGGCATGACGTGGTGCCCTTGCTGTGGAGTGCTGAACATCACCTCTTAGCAGCAGCCAGAGATCTGAATAAAAATAAAGTAGTTCTAGCTGAATTTTGCTGAGCAGAGAGTTGCCTGAGGCTTCCCAGTCTGACCTGCTGGGGTCACCGTGGCTGCAGAAGGTTCCCACTGAGCAGCATGGAGAGAACACCAAAGGTCTTGCAGGGGACAGACAAACAAAGCAGAGTGGTCTCCGATTTTAAATAGCCAGCTGACCAGGGTAACCTCCTGGCTGGGCTGCACAGCAGCAGTGGAGAAAGCATTTAGTATCTTGCCTGACAAAGCTGTGTCACTCCCACCAGTAGCATGTGATGTGCAAAAGGCCCAGGAGGAGACCATTTTTCTCTCCTTTCCCTGTCACATGCTGCAGGTCAAGGTTATAATGCGTGGGTGAATCCCACACTTAAAGCTGGTATCTGTTGACTGTCACAAGTGATTGTCTTGGAACAATAATTCACACTTGCCTCCCTGAACACAGAGAGCTGAGTGACAGCTTGGATTAGCACCACATGGCACTGCCATGAGGACTTCTTACTGATGAGTAAACCACCACCTCTGCTCTAGAGATCCTCTGCTTTGACATCCCTCCAGGGCAGAACGTTGGATATTTTCTAAGCATCAGTTATGAAAACTACTTCCCTTTCTAGTCCCACACAAGGCAGGCAATCAGCTTGTCCCTCTTGGACAAGACAGCCTGCTATTTAAAACACGGTCAGTCACCAAGCTCCCCAGGCAGACACAGGCTGCTGCCCTAGTTAGGAGCTCCCAGCACAGGGCAAATTAGATCACAGTAACGCAGTGCTGGAAATAGGAATGATCGGCATGAACACTGTGGCTTTGACCTCAGCAATGGGAAGAGGTTTTCACTTGACACCAATCTTATTCCCAGCACACTTCAATCTCCCTTGTTTTTTTTCAAGATGCCCTTTGGCTTTTGTTCTCCAGTTCATTTGCTTTTGATGTGGGAATTTGTGATGCAGCCAAACCCAGTATTTTTAGAAAGGTGAACATCAATCACCGATTACTCTTTTTTCTAGTGAAGGTCAGCTGCAAGAAAGGAATATCACAACCCTGCACTGCTTAGGAACCAAGCTCTAAGAGGAGCATACAGCAGGGTAAAAGGAGTATAAGCTCATATCTTTTAGTAAGTACCAAAACCATGTAAGACAGCACAGGACCCCACTATCCATACACAGGAATCCCTGTGTTGCCAGGCTAAGAGAATCAGGGCAACAGCTACCACCTCATTGAAAGCAATGCTGCCAAAGGGAGCCCTGGGCCCATTGCCAGCTGCAGGAAATTCATCCACACCACACTTCTGTGCCCACAAAATCCTGAGGGCCCTCCAGGCTCAGCCTTCAGAGAAGAATGAGGCACAAACCAGCCCCTGGTGCTGGCCAGGAAGCTGGTGAACAGTTCATTAGCTCTTCTCTGGATCAGAGATTTAAAATCAGAGTTAAAAAACAAACACAGACCAAATCTGAAATCACTTTATTGAAAAATTTCTTACAATAGTCAGTGGTAAAAATGTTCAAGTGTGATACAGCAATGGCACAGACCTTACAGATCTTACAGATCTCAACTTGAGGCTGATTCATTTACAAACAGCCGCAGGCTCCACACACTCAGCTTCCCAGAGACCCGTGCAGCATCCTCTCACATCAGCAAGTTTCAGTGCAGCGCAGGGAGCACAGTGTCTTTACATCACATAAGGTTAGCTGTGACTCTGGGTTTTCCTGTGAGAGGTGTGAAAAGCCCTGTAGGTCTGTGGAGAATGCTGTTTGCAGCATCAGGCATCGTTCCCACCCACCCCAGCTCATTCAAAACACTGTCCAAAAGCCTGTAACAAAATATCTTGCCAATAAAAGTATTTTTGAAAACCTGTATTAAAAAAGAAATCGCTAGATATAGCAAAACTCTATCAAAAAGTGACTGTGCCAATTTCCCCTGTACACAAATAGTAGTTTTTATAAAATAATAATCATATTACATTAGAAATTCAGTATGTAACATATTGCATCTGAGACACTCGCTGCAGCAGAAGCCCTGTACACAGCACTCGGGCCATTATGAGGCAGACCAGCAGCTCCCCTTTACTTCTGCTGTCTCTACAGCAGCCACCAAGAATTTGGCCATTAAAGTGTTAGGATCTAGCAAGTAGAAAGCTGGGAGATGGCAAACCAAGTGTTTGCAAATCAGCACCATTTCTCCTCAAGGAGGAGAAAAAATACATCAGAGGAACCTCTTGATTTTAAAGATATTGCATATTACATGTTGCTGGTGTCAGTGAGACAGTTTTGACTGTTTGTGTCAGTTTTCATTTGCTGAGTAGCAGTAACATGTGCCAGAGGTACCTTCAGCATCTTTCAGTGATTTCTGGTCTAATAAGAACCTAGAACTAAGCTACAGGAGCAAATAAAACCACACCATTACTTGGTTCATGAAGAAAAAACCACTGTAGACACTGATAGACACAGGGTTGTCAGCCTGCTGTCTGGAAATAATTAACATTGATTGTTCCCCGATTCAATTTGCAGCAATCTGCAAGGGGTCCCACAGAGGAGCAATTGCTCTCTTGTCCCCTCCTTTTCCAGGCCCGGGTTCAGAGCCCCCGCAGCCTTCACACTCAGCTACGCAGGACGGGAGCTGAATCCCCAGGGAGCAAAGGTACTGCCGTGTGTGAAACCCACTCTGTACTTTGGTGGCTTAATCTTCCCAAATAACTCAGCAAGAACTTAGTAACTCTCTGCATAACCTTGGAGAAGACTAGGAGTGGGCTTTGCATTTGAGGATGCACAGACAGGTGATTTGGTTCCCTAAGAAAGCAGCAGTAACCTACCCAGGCAGCACAGGGATCTTTTTGTTAGGGAGGATTTTTGTTTGCTTTCTTTAACAGAGAGCTGGCAACTGCCAGAGCCCCTCCCTGTACGAAGCGCACAAAGTTGTCTCCAGCTAGAGGTCCTAGAGCATAAAGCCCTTTCTCCTGAGTGCATTCATAGGTGAACGGGTCAACATCTATGGGATTTCTCTTTGGATTGACTGGTTGATCACTCTCCATTGCCAAGTCAATGCCATTATTTGGCAGAAATGAGAGGTTGGGGTTTGAGCCAGTTAGAACAAGAGCCATAGAAACTTTATAAACTTTCTGGCAGCCATTCTTGTCTTGAAATATACACTTCTTGTCCTTGCCGAAGGAAAGCACGTGATGTTCAGGAAGGCTAACGTAGCACTCGTAGGGCCCAGCACAAGCAGCTGTCTGTTCTTTCATCATCTGATGGACTTTGTGGTATTCAGGGTACATCATTTTGGGGAGCTGGTTAAAAATGAGACCTGGATCACTGACTCGTCTCCGAAAAACGTGGATTACCGGAATATTGCAATGGTGAGCAAAGAGAATCGCATCAGCAGCTGTCAGACCAGCACCTACAATCAAGACTGGATCTGACATGATGCCAATGCTGTTGTTCTTCACTGCTTCTTCCAGGGCAGACAGTTGGTGGTGGACATAGGAAAGGTTCTCTCCCTTGACTCCAAGCCAGGTAGGACTATCATATGTTCCTGTAGCTAAGACCACATTCTCTGCATAGATGGAGAAAGGCTCTTTATCACCTTTCACACTTTTGAAAAATCCATCCACCTGAAAGATCTCTGTACTCTTCTCACAGAAGTTCCAAAGAGAGTCACTACTCTCCTGCAGATCTTCCTGTGCATAGTTGGAGATACTTTCTGCACTCACTTTCCTCACAGAGGTCACCACAGTACCACATCTGAAATTCTTCTGCAGTCCTTTCTTCATCACATAGTGTTGGTAATATTGAGCAATGTCATGTGCTGTGGCTCTATTGTTTCTGAGGCCTCTGTAATATAGTACAAACAAAGGTCAGGCAGCAGTTAAGTAAGAGACTGGAATTTCTCCCCTCTTCCACTGAATGTATCCTAGGGCCATCTATCCTGGCACTACCAGAGAAGACTTATCTAGTTTCCCTGACTTCAGCAAAGTTATTTGTGGTATATAGAGTTAATGCTCAGAGTCCACAAACTTAGACAGAGGCAGCTTGTTGTAGCATGAATCCCATCCCTAAGAACATGGTTGTTCATTTATGCCTTCCCTTCACATCTTGCTTCCACTCCATTTTTAACTCCTGTACTTCTTAAGATTAATTGTTACACATCTCAAGAGCAGAAGCACCTCAGACTGCATATTATCTGAGCTGATTATACTTGGCATTAAGCACAGCAGCAGTAGACACAGAAGTCAGACGAACTTGTCTTTTCCAAGCTGCATTCATAACTCATGGTCACTGTGATCCACCTCCCCAGAGCGTATTGAGAGGGATGCATTCCAAGCAGCACTGCAACTTCATCTGAATCACTGAATGAAGAGTGGACTGTTACTGTGGGGTGAAAGGGTGTCCTGCAGTCCTCTCTCTCACTAGAATAATCCATTATAGATGAGTAGCTACATCAAGAAACCCACTCCACACCAGGTTCCTAAATCACCTCTGGTCGTTTGCAAATAATCAGACCATAGATCTCACCTTCTCTTTTGCTTTAGCCAGTCTTTGAATGGGAGATCTGGGAGTCCCATCCATTCCCCTCTGCTCAGGGTAACCATTGAGCCCTCAATAGACTGGAAGAAGAAACACAGTAAAATGACTTTCAGTTATTTAAAGCAAAAAGTGAAATGCAGTTTTGTCATGTTGCAATATGGCACAGATCATGAAATCAGTGATTTCCTCTGATCTGCTCTTATGGATAAAAACATCCATGTTCTCCAAAAAGACTGAAAATATAAATGCCTCTCTTGCTCTTTTTCCTTTTAAACCTTCACTTGTCTGTATATATAAAATCAGATGTGGCTGACTGGCATGTTAGAGGAGCTTTTGCCTCTTCAGTCACACATTTGGCTATCTTACAACATGCAGACCTAAGCAGTGAGGTTTCCATTCACATACATGCCAGGCACCTCCAGGAGCATTTCTGCCAAGGACCAGATGGGGGATGGCTCTGTCGGTCTCATGCCACCAAGTGAGGACAGATTCTGCTGTTCCACCAAAGTCTGTGTCTGGACGCTGAAGAGTATCAAACAGAAGAGCCACAGGACTGTGGGATCGTCCCTCCAAGCCTTCAGATAAATACTCCAAATCCTGCAGAGAGACATCAGGTGTTCAAAATGTGTGTCCTGCCAGGCAGCAGACTGCTTCTTCTCCAGTATTCCAAATTAGTGGTTCTGGTGTTCTGTGAAGCTCATTTACTGCCACACAGACAGTTATTGCCCAAGGACTACCTCAAGGATCTCAGCTGCAATGCTGGCCTTCCACACAAGGCAGATGTGGACAACTAAAGGTACTTTGCCTAAGGCTCATTCAGTATACTTTGAAAATTCAAATGAGGTTATCACTTATAACATACACCTAGGTTGCTTTACTGTGATGTTATACCATTTCTTTTTACACAAACCTGGTCCAAAATGGAGACATCTGGTGCCTCTTCCAGTTTCCTCTGAAGAATGGGATGAGGATGAAGAGAATCTCTTTTGAAGTAAGGGATGTGGCCTGACAGCAAGTATGAGAGACAGATTCCTGAAGGTCCATTCCCTAAAATGACACAATGGAGAAGAAATTATACTCCTGCAGATAAAGCAGCTATTTGAGGAGCATTTCTAATACCCAGACCAATTCAAAGGGTGTAACACTGCTGTGGATACAGGGGGCTTTCTATTGCAGGTTGACCACTGACTTATTAGAGTTGGGGAAGTAATTTTAACGTCATGTGTCCCCCTCTCCAACTCAGTTGCATCTATTTGCATTGAAAGGTCTTCAGAACTTGCTGACAAGACACTGGGTCAAATAAGCCAGAGGTTAACCTCAAGTGAAGCTCAAAGCCTCTAGCATGCTGATGAATTGAGGTGTTGCTCATTAACTTCTTGAAAGATTTAGAAATTGGTCACATACTGACCAGAGGCCTCAGCTCTCCTGGATGTACATTTCACAGCAGCGCAGAGTAGTTCATTGTGCTCAGGAGGCACAGTGTGGAAGTGAAAGGGAACCAGCCCTACCATGGTACTGCAGGCAGTGTGTTAAATAAAAAAGTCTCTCTGCCATGCCAAGACAACCCTCCAGAATGCAGCACTTGGAACAGATTGCTGCATGACCGAATTCCCTCTGCTTATCACCCAACAGCCAGCACAAAAACTTGATAAACATGACTCCAAAGCCCAGTGAGAATAGCCCGTGGAAAGTTTTCACATGGCTGTTTTCCAGCATGTTTAATATTTTACAGTGTCTGCATAAGTAGGTGTCAGCCTCCGTGGCTGCTCAGGCTTTGCTGCTTGCTAGCCTATGACTAACCAGCACTACCTCACGCAGGGATGGAGGGGAGGAGAGCTGAGGTGACACAGTGCCTGGGCTGCATGCGTGAGCGACTGGAGCAAAGGCTGTTTCTCAGGGATCTGAGACAGAGGGAGGCTCGGGCTGCAGAGCTAGTGCTGAGCTGAGCCATGTGAAGAGCAGGACAGGCTACAGCTGGGGCCCAAGTCTCCTGGGCTGAGCAAGGACCAGCAGCTGCAGGTCAGCATTTGGAATATTCCATTGCAGAGAAGTTATCCAAAACCAACATCAGCAGAAACTAAAAGCAAACTAAAATGCATCTAGAGTAAAATATAACACTTTTCAGGTTACTTCTTTGCTTGAGAAGTACAAAGGTTCTTAAGCCAATCACATGAGTGCACAATACTCAGCAACAGACACAGGGATTTACTCTGAACCACATCTAAGCTTGATATGGATGGTCACAAGCACAGCTGCCTCTGGGGCTCAAACTGTTCTAGAAAGCAACTGCTTTCATGAGGCTGCCAGCAGAGCGGAGGGAGCCTGCAGCATTCCTGGAGCAGGGCCTGAGGAAGTAGCTGGAACCTGCGTGCAAGGTCCAGCTGCAGTGACACAGCTGAGCTGCTTCAGTCCAAGAGCCTCCTCAGAGTGCACATCTTCACACTGGTGCTTCTGAGGCTTGAGTAATACCTCCACCCTGGAGCTCTGTGTAGGTGTACTGGGGATGTACCAAAATATCCTCCCTCCCACCTAAAGACTTGAACAACTGGGCAGTACGAAGTCACTGGCTGATTAGAACCTGCTAGCAGTGGTGTCCTTGTCAAACTCACTGTTAGCAAAGATTAAGTATGATTTCTGTGGTGCACTAACTTTGGACTAGCTCCCTTGGGTGCTGTAAATCAGATGACAGATAAGGAAGGAACCCAGCTCTACAAAGCATTTAAACACATGCTCAGATGAACAGAGTCCAACACCTGCACTCGAGCATGGCTCACGATTCATCACAGAGAGGAGAGCACTGACATAACTACTCGGGTTTGCTCCAACAATCACCTCACATTACAAAGCTCCCCTCTTGCAAAGGAGACAGGCAGTTAATACAATCTGTTTTCTAAACTGGTAGAAATCCCACAGCTTTTTACCATTCTATTAAATCTGTACAACATCAGTGCAGCTGGCTTGCATTTTTAAAAGAAAATTGAAAAATTTCAAGAAATTTTGACAGCATCTGGAGCATTTTCTAAAGATGCACTATGGGGGAAAAAAAGATCACATAAGCCCGCCTCCCATTCAAACACTACAGTGAATCACTTCACAGAAAGCCTATTAACTATCTGTATGGAAAAGTTTTCTAACCCTTCTAAATACCCAACAGAGAAAAAGCCAGACACAGCTGAACTGATGCCCAAAAGGTTACTGATATTACTATTAAGAAGAGGTATGTCATTTAGGTTGTCAAATACCTCGTACCCTACTTCTCACAACTCCTAGTGGTCTTTCTCCTGGTATTATAGCAAGTTTGGTGGCTGGGGAAAGAATGCAGAAACAGTGGTTGGACATTGCTGGTTTCAGTAAGGACACATGGAACAAAAGTTGGAGACAGCAAGTCCAAAGCAACAACAGCACTAGAGAACAGGTGAATGCTGGAAGGAGAGAGCTTACCTATGATCACAACAGGCAGTGGCTTGAACCCACTCTTACTCTGGTGCCGGGTCAGTAATGCATACATCTTCCCGTCTGGAAGCATTTGGGTTTTGGGGTCTACCTGCTAAAACAAATAAGTTTTGAATTATTTGGTTTTTGACAAAACCCAGCAAATGGCTTTCTACAGCCCACAAACCCAGGTGGATCTGGAGTATTATTCTTGCATCACAGACATTACCCTTCCATGCTCAGGGCAGGGCCTACTTATCTTTTCCTCTTCCTGCCCCTAAAGCCAAAGGATGATTTCCCTCATTATACACCACAAAAAAAAAAAAAAAAAAAAAAGGTAGTCAACCCTTATCTTTCTTTTCCACATATGAATTCCAGTCCCTCCAGAAGAGCTGGCAAATTCAGTAACACACTGACTGCAGTAACTGAAGCATTTCAGCTTGCTAATGAAAACTTCACTTCTGCCCGTAGTGCATAGAAAATTGTCATAATTATCACAAACACTTTATACTTTGAAGCAATTTGTGCATTCACTGATAAGTAGAGCAAGCCTCACTCCAGACTTCTGCCCAAAGCTGGAAACCTCCTGGCTGCATTTTAAAAACACATACCACTCCATCACTACCAGCTTTTTTTGAGAAGTGCTAGTTTAGTACCTGAACCTTCTTTCTTAATTTTCCAGAAAATAGAATTTTAGGTCTGAACAAGTAAACGACAAGTTTTTAAACAAATTATACATTACAATTATCTTAGACTACAGCATCATTAGAGCAGAATCTACAAAACTAATCTAAGCAGATACTCAATGAACAGCGAAGTTTTTTGCCCTCCACTGCAGGAATCCTACCATGTCAAATAGTGACTTCTTTAGTTTTCCAGGGAGTTCAACTATACTGTGACTAATCTAGGGAAGTTATTTTTACCACAGTAAACATGAGATTTTTGAAATTCAGCATAAGTCTTGAAGTTATTCTACAGTGAATACAGTCTTTTACAAAGACCTTATTCTCACTTTGGAAAGCTAAGTACAAATCCACAGAAGGGCATGACTTTGTCCAGCAGGACACTCTCTCCACACCCTTTTCAAGCTCAAAAAGGTCTTTGGCAAGCACACTACTGCACAGTTCCATAAGGTCTGGCACATCACTGCCTTTGACACAGGTATTGCAGCAAATGCCATCCTACAAGTGTAATGCTCCACTTTAAGCCTGACATTTACATCACCAGCAACTACAGTAATGTGGTAAGACTCTGGTGATTGAATGAGCAGCCAGAAAACCAGGGGTGAGTTTAGGATTTGCAGAATCCCAGGCTTTAGGAGGAGACTGTTAAATGCATTTGCCTGCAAGGATGTGACAATTCTATCTATAGCCATAGCTGGGCTGGACAGAGCTAGTCCAAGAGGACTGGATTAATGAGGCACAAAATAAGGCTTAGAAGCTGAATTCAAAATTAGCAGCTTTGTTTAAATTCTTGGATTGGAGTTTAGTAACACTTACTGGTTGCCTATTATCACTTAAGGAAGCATTAGTCTGAGACTCATGTATTTTGCCTGATGGGGCAAGAACTACTTAAGACTTAATAGTTGTGCTTTCTAATTTAAGTCATTCCAAGGATCTAGCTTTGAAGAGAGCTGGATTTCAAAGAAACTTAGGTTCTCAATTTAACTGATACTCAAAGGTAAATGCATACACTACAGAAGATGAACACTCCAATGTGTTGTGTCTATATCAAGGCATGCATTGGCCCCTTAGGCACATTTAACCCAACCCTGGTAGCTGCAGGAGCACAGTCTAACTGTATCTCCCACAGCCTTTTGGGTAGGTTCTACCACATGAAACAAAACCTGCACCACATTCAAGCAGATTGTTGTGTAAATTTACTCCCAGATAATTCCTGACTGCAAAGCTCCAGAGCTGCAATTGGTAAAATTCAGCACTAGTACCTGGGATGGCCAGAGACAAAAGGAACAGGACACTGGTGTGACCAGTAAGGTATTCCCTCCAACCAGCTAAGCCACAGTACCTATCTGAAGGTTAGCAGAGGTTTCTTCTCCATGATAACAAATAAATCCCTTTCCACAGCTGTACTATGTAAGACATAGTATGTAAGTTCTTACTAATATTTCCTAATACAGAGTGTATATCTTATTGCTGTATAACCACTGAGAGTCTGGAAGAGGGAAGCAAGGTCTCTGGAAGTGATCTTGCAGGTTTCTGCTCCATAGCACTCTGCAGCAGAAAGCACAGGAAGATTGTATGCATTCTGTAGACAGTGGTAACCCAGCAACATCCATAGGATTTTTTCTGGAAGCAAGACCACCCCAATAAAGCACATGGCACCAGTTCCAGGAGAGCAGCAAAGCCAGCATATAAATAACAAGCCTGCAAGCCTGTTCATAAGACTTGGGCGCAGAGTCATGTCGTTGTATGCCAGCACTTTTCTGGGGGAGCTTGAAGGGGACAAAAAAAAGGCACAAGAGGGTAGAAGTCAGCCTGGCAGTCCTGTTTGCTTTAGAGGAAGGTTGCCTTAGCTTCTTGCCACTGCACTATGCCACTGTATGCCACCCAGATAAAGAGCAAAGCCACAGCTGCAGGCTCTGATAACACTCGCCTTATTTCACCCTCCTTCATTCTGGACCTTCAGACACGTGAAAAAGGAACATTTGCTGGAATAACCAAGCCTTAATGGCTAGAGCAGCACAATTGTTAGTGTGATGAAATTAGATCCATGCACATACATGACCATTTTTAGATGTGGCTATATTCAGGATCTGGGTTCACAAATCCCCATAATAACCATTTTAGTGCTAGGTGCTTTCTTTCCTCAAATTTTGACACCAGACAATTCCATCAACACAAGATTAACCATCAGAGATGCTTCTGTTTATCCTAATATGTGTCTACAAACGGAGGAAGCCCCTTCCACATCCAATAGCTGCCATTTCTATAATTTCTAGTTATTAATTCTTCTTTTTAAATAGAAAGTGAAACAGATGCTGAACCTGTTTGTATCTATTCCTAACCCTGTAAGATAAATTTTTGACTTCTGGGGTAAAGCTAAGCTCAGAACATCTCCGGCAGTTCAGTTTCAGGTCAAATGTACATTAGAAGTAAAGGTGGATTATTTTAGTTTGGTTGGGGTTTTGGTTTTTTGGTGTTTTTGTTTGGTTTGGTTTGGTTTGGTTTTTGTTTGGTTTTTTTTGTTTGTTTGGTTTGGTTTTTTTGGGGGTGGGAGCTTATAATCAAGGAACTACATATATCTCAGTAACCTGTCCAGCTAGTACAGTGTAGTAGATGAAAGCCTGCTCCTGTAGTGGTTATTGGAAAGCACACAGGACACTGAATTTCATTTCAAATTTATGCAGAATTAGCCAGCAGCAAGAGAAAGCCTGGGCTAGCAAGAAACCCAAGACTGCTCTTCTCACCCTCCTTTTATGTAGAGTAGGGCACTGACACTTGGTTACCTTAGTGACACCAATCTCAGTTTTGGCTCCTGCCTTAGGCGTCCTACTTTAAAAGGCTCTCTCTTCCCTCCTCTTCATTTGGGAGCATGCTGCAAACTTCTCAATTTATCTTTTCACGGCTTCCAAAGCATTTCAGTGTCTATGTGATGTTACGTAATTGTTCTGGCTTGGGAAAGCACCCAGCAGATTCTGGGCCAAACTGCATACTTCCCTGACACAGCCTGAAGCCTAGAGGGACTATAACTCACGCAAAGTCGGTCAGTGTGGCCCTCAGTAGTTCCAGGCTGCACAACTCTAACAGGTTTTAAGTGAGTAGAAGAAAAAGCAAAGACATTTAGCAAGACGACGACACTAAACAATCTTTAGCAGAAATAAAAAGACAAGTTACATCAGCCATATATGCAAGTAGCTCTCCCTATAACATCAGTGAGACTTTTGCTTGAGTGAGGATCACCAAGCGTGGCCTGTAGAGCACGTGGGGAGAGCCCAAGAGAGCAGGGCAGTCAGAATATAAATAATGGAAGAGACTGAGAGAGTTATCATAACACTCAGGTTTAAACAAGAGCAGTTTTAACACAAATTCAACTGGTTTCTTCAGCTTCGTATCTTCATCCATCCATTCGTTTCACCATCAGTTTTTAAAATTTAATTCATCAGTATTTTTAGAAACAAGAAATCCTAAGAGCTTTTACATTTTATACTTTCCTGTAAGTTTCAGAAGTTTGTTTCCCTCTACCCCCCAGCCCCAGCATTAGCACTATCACTCCTACATGCCAGGCCACCTACCCCACAAACAAAAAATATGTGGAAGAAATTCAGCTTTATGGTGCACAACAAGAATCTCATTCTAAAAACACCCTGTGACAGTCAGCAAGCAATGTTACAACATGCCAGACAGAGCTCTCTACATATACTTACAGCCTTCTTACCTTTAGCAGCAGGTCTGACGAGAAGTGGGATCTTTAAAAAAAAATGCCTGTCCAGTCAGCAAAGCCAACTGAACCACAAGCCTTGAGTCCTGCCTCTGCTCTAAGACAGCTGCTTAAATATAGTCGGCTACCAGCACTAAGAGGGGAGAGGAGGAGCTGAAAGAGATGGAGGCGGGGCGAGGAAAATACTTGTAAGCATGAGTCAGCAGGAGTATTTCCCTTCCCAGCTTGTGAATGAATGATGCAGTGATACTTCCTTAGTAATGTTCAGCTGACTACATGGCTGCAGCAAAAGCAGGCCTTACAGGAGCCACTCGTGGCAGAAGTCCTGCATCAAACAAGTACCTTTGCTTTTAACCCTCAGAGTGAATTAAGACTTGGCAGAACATTCACAAAATGCAATACTTCTGGTGGCAGAACCAGGGTGTTCCTCTGTATTTAAAAGAAAAAACTGCTAGTTAGAATTACAGGTGGGACTAAAAGGGATAGGATAGCACTGCAAGCTTGCCTTAAAACTAGTGATCTTTATGGCCACAGAAGGACAAGAAAATGTGACTGTTTTCTTCCTACTTTGGACAGTTTGGGGTTTTAGTTTCACTTTATTATTATATCTTAGATATAGTGGGTCTGAAAACAGAATTCAGTTTATATTATTTTCTTCAGTGAAATAGTCTTAGAAACCTGTTGCACAGCAGCAGT